ATTCATGCAGGGGGTGGGGGAAGAATGTCTCTTAGCCCAGCCTGCAGCCTCTCCAATCTGGAAGCCCTTGAGGGATGTCCAACCACCCTTTGAGGACCGATCCCACAGGAATCGGGCCTAAATGGGTGGTTGGACATCCCTCTCACAATCCAGGACTGCTGGCTTTCAGCTGCCACCCCTGCAGGCCTGGTTGTCCCCAACTGCCCTCTCCTGCAGGCCTAGTCACCCCAACTGCCCTCTCCTGCTGACCTGGTTTCCCCCAACTGCCCTCCTCTGCTGGTCTGGTAACTCATAAATGCCCTCCCTGCTGACCCTATCGCTCACAACAGCCCTTCCCTGCAGGCCTCATCCAAGCCAATTGCTCTATCCTGCAAGCCTGGATAATAAATGCCCTCCCCTAAAGGCCTAGGTCCCCCTCAGCTGTCCTCTCCTGCAGGCCTGGTCCTCTCCCCCCCCCCCCCCCCAACTGTCTTCTCTTGCTTGCCCAGTATCCCCCAACCTCCCTCCTCTGCTGGCCTGGTGTGTGGGAGCTAACTGGTTTGCCCGGATCAGAGTTGGGGTTCCCTTGGGGCATGGGACAGCCTGGGTGAGGGGCCTGTGGTGGTTTGTAGGCAGGCCATGCCTCCTGGCAACCCAAGCAGAGGCCCTGGTATCTGGGATTTATTTATTTCTACAATTTCTACAATTGAAACTTTGTATCCTGGAGCAGAGCCAAACCTTCTGTTAGCTCTGTGGCAGTAGCCATTTATTTATCTTCTATAATTGAAACTTTGTAGCTTTGAGTGGAGGCCTGGGCTGGCCAGGGTGGGTGGAAAGCTTGGCTTCTCCATTGCTGGGGAAATCCAAGCCTCCCTTCTGCTTTCTCCTTGGCCACAGCCAAGTGGTTAGGGTTAATTTGCATACTCACTCCTGATTGGCTGTTGGGCATGGCTGTTGGTCGTTGTTAGTGGGTGTAATGAAGTGATGGTTAATTTGTATATTAGTCTTTTATTATATGCATTACCTATGTACACAGACAATAAGGTGGTGAAGGCCTTGCGGGGGAAACCTGGTGGAGGGGGGCAATATGGAAGTAGGGGAAAAGGGGAGTATCTGTAATATTTTTAACAATAAATATTTTTAAAAATTTGCTCCTAGAATTGAAATTAATTCACAAATGAAATCTACAAAATTGAGGCTGAATGAGGTAATTTCTTTCCATATCTCCCTCCTTCACTTCCATTAATGCATCCTAGGATTTCATTACTTTTCTGGGCAGCCATATTACACTGATGACTCATGTTGGCTCATATTATGCTTGTGGTCAGCTGAATTCCAAAAAACTTCACATGAATGACTATTAAGCCAGATCTTCTCAATCATTTACTTGTATGATTGACTGAATGAACATGTGCAGATTTACTGAGTAACATAAAACTGTATTTGTAATACTTCAACTATTTAGTTCACGGCCTTAAATTCCTTTATGCTGTAGTTCATTTTACTTGGCTACTTCAATCAAAAATTGCAAACTGGTGGCCTGTGGGTCAATTTGGCCACATATTTATTTTATTTGGCTAACATGGTGTTTTTTGAGAGCTAAATTGGTTGCCAATTGTTGAACATCAGACAATCTCACATGAAAAGCAGGCCTTCCAACTTCTCTTGAAAAGTAGAAAGGTCTGGAAATGCTGGACCCTCATTTTCTCAAGGCAGCATGTGATAGGCTGGGGCTGAGCAGTACCTACTCCTTTACAAAGTGAAGAACAGCTCACTGCAATCCCACGATGCTCCATGGCCTAGCATTGCCCTGCCCAGCCTGTCTGTGCTGGGGAGCAGGTTAAGTCAGGGGCTGACAAAAGGTTTGAGAAATGTGAGGTTCAGCTATCCTGTGTTTGCTTTTGTGGCCCCAGTTGTGCATAATAGAGAGGGAAACTAAGGACAGAGAGGTGGTTCTGGGCCTCCAACATGGGCACGGAAATCTGTGGTTCTGTCTGCCTCACATGCCACCTATTCTGGAAACTCACTTCTTCTGTGTGACTCCTGAGTGTGCTGGCCGTTTTCATATGATCCTGCTCCTGTGGCCAGCACACACTGGTCCAGAGAGTGACCATGTGATCCAAGCTTTATTGATATGGTTCTAAAACTTCCAGTCTGTGACAGTGTCAGAGGAGCCCATGTCAGTGGCTGAAGCTCCGGGTGCAAGGCTCTGCAGCACTGACCATGTTTCCTATCACATGACTGGGAAGTAGAGCCTGCTATTGGCAAGAGAGGGAAGAAGCATGTCATCACATGGAAAGAGTAATCTGACCTTCAGCATGGGGTTCTGATCCTCATCATTGATTTGAAAACCTAGCAAAAGTTGGTTTTTGTTGCTCCCAGGAAATGTCATCATAGGTTGCTTGCTCTCTGCTAGCCTTCCCAGTGTCTAAGGGCTTCCCTAATGCTCCTCCTTATGTCCCATGTCCCTGCCACATGCTTTTGAATTTAGCATTCTGGGTCTCTAGTAGGCAGTTAGATAGGGTGAGCAGAGTAGGAACCATGGGCCAGATGCAGAGGGTCATCAGGGTGGAAAACCCTGGGTGTCTAGCAATGGGAAAAGTACAAGTCCCTGCATTACCACTCCTTTAAGCATTAGGCCTTGGGGATAACATCTAGACCTCAGCTGCGTTTCAGGTCCAGCCCCCCCCCAAAGCAGCAAAACCATGCTGAGCCACCCCATTGGCTGACATCAGGTCTAGCTGCAATGACTAATGATCCCCCTCCTCTGGTGCCACCAGTCAGTGGAGACCAGGACTCTGATGAGACTCGTGGAGAAGATGATGAATATTCTATTGAGAGCCTCCCCTCAAACCACAGATAAAAGCCCTGGGGATGGAGGAGCCAGTGTGGCTCTCTCTAGGGAGCATTCTGCACCTTTCCTACCCCCTCGTCACACTCTCTCTCCCTCCCCATCTCTCCCCTAAGCTCCTAAGGCCCTTATTTTGCTGTAACCTGTTTCCTGAGCCCATTTCTTCTATGGCTCACTTCTACCTCTGTGACTTTCTAAATAAACTTCTCTTATAATTGGAGTCACGGCTCTGAATTCTTCTCTCATCCAGAACTCAAGGACTGAGGTTGCTGAACTGAAGTTGATACCTGGTGCTATTTTTCTGCCAACAGGTCCTTTGGAAAATCCCATTTTGCTGTTCCTGAGCCAGTTGAAGAGTGAAAAGAGAATGTGAAGACATTTCTGTGCACTGGGATGTGCATTCCCTTCTTCTGGGCCTCCTGGGAAGTCTGCTCCCAGGTTCCAGCTAGCCAGGCAGCTCCATGATGCATTCTCACATAGTTGCCTGTGCTGATGTGAACCATCTCCACACTACTGTGGGATGTCTACAAAGCATGTTGGGAAAGTCTCCTGCTGCCCTCAGTAGCAAAGTTTCCAGGAACTGATAGCCTGATATGAGCTCAGGAGACCTGGAATTAAGATGCTAAGATTTGAGTATTCAAATTACCACTAGGTGATGGATGATTCTGAGAACTTTTTTTCATTAATTCATCAAATATTTATTGAGAGTCTACTATGTGCCACTGTTCTAGGCACTGGGGATATTACAGTATAAAAAATATGTAGCTTATAATTCTGGAGATAGCAAAACTAACAAAATTCAGCCTCAGTTATTTCATAACTATAAGGTTCACCTTTCTTACATGTACAATGAGGTTAAAATAATTATCTCACAGGGCTGTTTAGAGTATTATATAAAACTAGAGGTCCCGTGCACAAAATTCATGCACTCTGGAAGGTCCCTCAACCTGTCCTGCACCCTCTCGCAGTCCAGGAGCCCTCAGGGGATGGAGGGGGCCTAAGCCTGCAGGCGGACATCCTTAGGGCTGCCTCTGAGGCAGGAGAGGCTCCTGCTACCTCTGCTGTGCTAGCCAGCCATGAGCCTGGCTTATGGCTGAGTGGTACTCCCCCAGTGGGAGTGCCCTGACTGCCAGGGGGCAGCTCCTGCATTGAGAGTCTGCCCTCTGGTGGTCTGTGTGCATCATAGCAACCAGTCATTAGGCCATTTGGTCAATTTGCATATTAGCGTTTTATTATATAGGATAATTCATAAGCACATTCTTGGCACTTAAACCTTAACAAATATTATTTTCTCCCTGAAAAGTTCAAAAGTAAGTTACACTTAACTTCACACACCACAGGTCAGGCTGACTGCTAGGCGGGATCTGAATGCCTCTGACATTGGCTCTGGCAACAACCTGGCCTTGTAGCTGCCGCCCAATGGATCAGGATTTATGCTGGAGCGGGAATGAACACACAGCGACCACAAGGGGGCAGCGCACTGCAGGAAATCCTTGACAGCCGTTTCCAGCCCACAGCCAAACTTCCCTGCTTCTCAGGGTCCTCCATACGCACTTCCGTTTCTCTGACGCTCGCAGAAGCGGGGGAGTGGGAAAGAAGAACACAGATTTCCTCTCCTATGTGCCAGCCGAGGAGATTTTGCAGCAGGGTTCACGAGGCGGCGCTGGGTCCCCGCACTACGCCAGCCAGCCACGCGGTGTGTGGAGGAGGCGCGGAGCCCGGCGACCTGCGCGAGGGTGTGGGTCTGGCTGTCAGCGGCGCCAGCCTCCGACCGCGACTCCGGGGAGAGGCAGCAGCCACCTAGAGGAACCGGCACCAACCCAAGCGCCTTCCCTTCCTGCTTTGTGGGAGTCCCGCACCCACATGCCCACAGCTGCTGGGCTGTCACTCCTGTGCGCCATCTGAAAAGGAGACAGACCAGGAGAGCTCCGGGGGTCGTCGAGGTGGATGCTCGGTGTTGGCTGTGTCCCCGAGCTGCTGGCCAGCGCTGGCGAAGGCAGTCGAGATAACACCTGCCAAACTTTTCCTTCGCAGCAGCCTTGGGAGGAAACATCTCTGCCCGAGGCTCACGGAGACCAAAGGGAAGACTTTGGGAGGGGACAAGGTCAAGCCTCGCAGCAGGGCAGGCTCGGAGTTCCAGGGAGCTCAGCGGACAACGCCTCTCCTTTCCCACGCCCCTCAGCGACCGTGACCCCAGCGCGCTCCCAGCGCACGTGCCTGCGGCGGAGGAAGAGGAAGGGTCCGGCTGACCCTCTGCGGGCGGCCAGGCGCGGGCGGGCCCAGGGCGCATGGAGCGCCGCGGGGGCTGCAGCTCAGCAGCGGCGCCGGGAAGCGCGCACGCGGCACCCCTGGGCCCTGCCCCGCCGCTCCCCTTACTCCCTGTCGGGGGGGTTTTGGCCACTGGAGGCCTTTTGGGGCGCAGAGTCCGCTGCGTGACGGCCCGGCGGGTCCCCTGGAGCACTGCGCGGCTCGGACGATCCGCAGCGATGGTTTAGCCCTAAGCCGCGGTCTTCGAGCGCCAAAGGGCAGGTAGGCTCCGTTGGCCCGGAGCTGGTTCGCTGGGTGCGGAACTCCAGTTCCCGCCACGGCCTCGCGGGCCAGTCGGTGTGCCACTCTGCACCTTGACGGCCGCAAGCCTCGGGCCGCCAGCCGGCGTGGAGGCAGTTCTGGCGGAGCCCTGCTCCCGGCGGCAGCCGCGGCGCCACCCTGATGCCCACGGCCCGCGGTGGGCCCGCCTTCGGCCCCGGGGCCTAGACCGCTGCGCGGCCGCCAGCTCCTCCCCATGCTACTCGGCGGGCCGGGGCTGTGCGCGTCCCAAGCGGCCGCCGCCGCCGCCGCGCAGAGCGAGGGCGACCACGACAGGCCCGGGGAGCTGTGGCGCTGGCAGCGGGCGACGGGCGAGGACATGGATGAGTCGTCGCTGCTGGACCTGCTGGAGTGCTCCGTGTGCCTGGAGCGGTTGGACACCACGGCCAAGGTGCTGCCGTGTCAGCACACCTTCTGTCGCCGCTGTCTGGAGAGCATCCTGTGCTCGCGCCGCGAGCTGCGCTGCCCGGAGTGCCGCATCCTGGTAGGCTGCGGCGTGGACGAGCTCCCCGCCAACATCCTGCTGGTGCGCCTGCTGGATGGCATTCGCCAGAGGCCCCGCGCTGGCGCCAGCCCCGGAGGCAGCCCTCCCGCGCCCTCTGGCCCCGGCTGGGGGGCGGCCTCCGAGCTTGCGGGTGGCGGGGGCCGTGCGATGGGCAGCGCCCCGGGCTCGCCAGTTTTCCCTTTGGAGGCTGGCAGTCCGCACGAGCTGACCACCAGCAGAAACGCGCCCCTGGCAAAGGTGGGTAGCCTTCTTGGCGCCGGTGTGTGTGTGTGTGTGTGTGTGTGTGTGTGTGTGTGTGTTTGTGTGTGTCCTTGCAGGTGTGGGGAGCAATGGTGAGGGGCTGGGGAGAACACATGTGGCTGTACATGACCTTCTCCTTGCAGTTCTTTAACTTACTTTTCTCCAAGGACTCCATGAGTGTAACCCTTCAAGTTCTCCCCTCCCCCCAATCCTTTTTCTTCTGAACTTCTTGTATGCACCTGCCTTCCTTCCATCCTTTCCCTTAGAATTCCTTTCCTACCACCTGCACTTGCTCTTTGGTGCCACGTGCTCCCAGGGAACCTTGTTATATGTTCATAGGTGTGCCAACATCCCATCCTCCCGAGGGGTGAGCAGGTCTTCTTGTCCCTGGGTTCTCTGCTGGCTGGGGCTGTACTCCCTCTCACTCCACCCCCCCCCCCCCTAACTTTGCTCCCCCCCCCATCTTTCCAGAAAAAAACTTTCTTTCTCTAGACATCCAGACTATCCTGCACACCCCCACCTGCCTGGGTAAAGTTCGTGCTTAATGTTTTCCAGGTTCCGGTTCCTGGGAAGACTGGGCCTCCTGCCTGCTTGTCTGGCCAGGGAAGATTGGGCAGAGGAAGGTGTGTGACCAGGCAGAACACAAAGTACAAACTGTTTAACAGGAGGGAAGAGGTTATCCTGCAGATGGGAGGAGTGTTGGCCCATCTTTTCTTGGACTCTGTCTGTTGGAAACCCTGGTTCTCTCCTGGGCTCTTAGGCAGGGTTGCATTCCCCGGGTCTTTGAGTTTTTTTGTTTTTTAGTGTGTGTGTGCACGCGTGCGTGTGTGAGTGCAACTATATTGTACAGCACCCACTGCTTCTATTTCAGTCAAAGACCTTATCTTGAGGGTTTTAGTGATTTGATTTCAAAGGCTACTTAGAACTTGTAATTTCACACCCTCTGCCACCTTGGAAACTGCTTTGTGGGGGAGGAGTAGATGTTGGTGTGAGAAACAAAGTAGTCACGTTTTATGTTTCTTGAAGGAAATAAAATACATTCTCAGTCTATTGCGATTATTCATTTTAGAGAACACAGCTGTATTCCTGTACTTTGACCATTTAAGGAGCTGGTGGTGCATTAACTACTTAAATAATCCTTCCAATGTGTATAATATTGAGATTCTGGGAAAATGTTACCACCTGAATCACTCAGTACTGCAGTATCTCTGAGGTTAAGAACTTAAACCCTTGGAGGGTGAGCTATAGGGTTAAATAGCATACTTTGCTTTGCCATACTTTGCTCTGTGAATCAGGAAGAATGGGTGGTCAAGAATTGTCAAGGCATATTTATACTTAGGATCACTGCTGAAGAGGAATTAAGTTTTTCTTTGATTTTGATTGTGATTAAATTCAGTTACAAGTGTTGTTGCATATTTTCCAACTTTTCCTCTCCACCCTTGCTGTTGTTATCTAGGTATCATAATTAAAGGTCAAAGAAACAAATAATATTTGGAATGATGCTTCTAGTAAAACATTTTGATGACCATGTGTTTTAGATATTCTCCCAGTTCATCTTATGGGAATTGCCTTTGATGAGGGGGTTAGGAGGTAACCTCAGCTCTTTGAACTCTGGTGGCATTTGTAGAATTTAAAAAAAAATGTGTCAAGGGATCAGACATTTAGTAATGCCACTTAGGAGCAGGAGGTTAATATTTTGTTGAGTGGAGTTTGGGGTTATTGGTTGACTTTATAGGCACACATGTGTATGTTTATGCTTTCTGAGCTTTAGGGAGCGTTTGGTCATATTTTTCCCCCTCTTTTGTTTGTTGTGTTAACTAAGTGTGACCTCCAGTCCTTTCTTCTTTGCAGGCCCATCTCATAAGGACTAAGTTTCTAGGAAGACTCTGAATGAAATCTAATCTTATATTTGATCACCTTCAGTGAGGAAAAAGTAAAGTTTTTTATTCACCAATTTTTGACAATCAGTGGAAGTCTTCTTGGGCAAGCAGAAGTCCTGCATGGAGTGTTGTACATTAAGCAAGCCTATACAAGTGACGGACTTTAGCTGAAAACTACTTCCAAATAGGCTTTCAGTACTTTACTCTCCATTGGACTTGCTCATAGCAAAGCTGAATGTTGCTGCGTTTATTAATTAGATGGACACTCATCTTATTATTCAGCAAATACTATATATGTCTCAGTAGCAGGTGACTAAATATCAGACAGTTCCCTATTTTCCCAATGAGAAGCCCCTTAAACTTTCTTTTGGACCAATTGGGATATGTAAACTTTGTAGGTATGTAAATAAGCAAATATCTGCTTAGACTGTTTATTAATTTAGTTACATGTAGACATTGGGAGTGAATCATGTATAAAATGTATTCATTCCTGTTTGGTTCATGAAATAGTCCCATGTCTCTTTCTCTCCCCCCCCCCCCCCCCCCGCCTCCCCCACCCTCCTGCATCTTTTGTGGCATTTTTTTTCATCAGGGTTTTGGTATCAAAGTCACATGAAATCCTGACCTGGTTAGCAGAGCTTCTCCCTTTCACCTGAGCCATCTGAGAGGAGGTGCATTTCCAATCAGTTAATTATGCAGCCCCTGGAAATTTTATACCAAGTTACAAGTACCCATTACCTACGGTTGGGACTGTTGGTCTCTTCATTTGCCTGTTTGCAATATTTGTCATTACGTGTTAAGAAGCATCTATAAAAAGTCCTGTTTGAACAGCACTAAGCATTGCAATAGCTAAAATATGAGCTATGTTTCTCAGCCAGTTTATTTTTTGTTTTGTTTTTAGTTTTACAAGGTGACCCCTTTAACCAGCATTGATGGAGATGTTTATGGGCAACATGTTTTCCTAAATGGGTTTTGTGAGGTTCTAAATTGAGTAATTCAAAGATTTCTTCTTAATATGTTTAATAATAAGAGCATAATTTGCTAATTATATCAGATAGCTGAATGACCTTCTGGATGGCATTCCAGACATCCTTCTGGAAAGTTGCTGTGGCAGGGGCTGAAGCAGAGGTGGTTAAGGGTGATCAGGCAGGCAGGTGAGCAGTTAGGGGCAATCAGGCAGGCAGACAGAGTGGTTAGGGGTGATCAGTCAGGCAGAGTGGTTAGGGGTGATAAGGTAGGCAGGCAGAATAGTTAGGGGTGATGAGGCAGGCAGGTAGAATGGTTAGGGGTGATGAGGCAGGCAGGCAAATGGTTAGGGGTGATTAGGCAGCCAGTCAAGTGGTTAGGGGCGATGAGGTAGGCAGGGAGAGAGGTTAGGGGCAATCAGACAAGCAGGCAGATGAGCAGTTAGGAGCCAGTGGTCATGGATTGTGAGAGGGTGCAGGCCAGGCTGAGGGACCCCCTCTCCCCAGTGCACAAATTTCATACACCAGGCCTCTAATTTAAAATAAAAAGGTCACCATAATCCTAAAGTGGGTGACAATTACTACTTGGAGGCCCTTAAGAATTGATACAGGGACAAAGTGACAGAGATCCAGGAAGTGATGCATCAGGAGGTGTTCTCAGGCTCTGTTCCTGTCCTTTTTCTTCTGCTTGACTGTCTGGTGTTGTGCTATGTTTGGTCTTGGACTCTAGAGTAAGAGGCCCAATACCTGGAAGCCTTTACCAAAAGCCAGACAGATCACAGGATGGCAGACAGCTGGCTGACTCGCGGTCATTGTAATGACAAGGGGCAGACACCAGCCTTTGGAGACATGACAGATGAATCACAGCGAAGTCCCTCTTAGACCTGTTTTCAAAAGGACCCCGGGGGTGGAAACAGCTCCTCCGACACATTAGTGTTGTTTCAACTTGCGGCAGTTAGTGAATAACCTAACTGGGTGCCTGCTGTGTGCCAGGGGTTGAGTATATCTCATTTAAGTAAGTATATCTCATCCATTTTTTAGCTCATCCAGTAGCTAGTCACATTGAGGGGGCCTCAGGGTTTCCTCCTCAGGGGCAAACCATTACTATGGGTAGTACACTTGAAAGAGGCTTCAGATTGACTGGCTGACTGGATTTGCGGTCAGAGTCCTCCTCTCGGTCTATTCCACAGCTAATTAGAGACAAAGGTCCCAAACTTAGCAGCGCCAACCCCCCTGGCTGCCGTCTGCCCCAGGTTTGCAGACGCTCTATCGGTGGGAGGCTGCCATCTTACAAACTCAGGCTGCAAGCCTCAGGTCCCAAGGAAGGAGCATCATACCAGTTATGGCTCTGAGGGCAGGTCACAGGCAGCCTGTGCAGCTGATGTGAGCCATCTGTGTGGGTGGCAGTGGGTGGGTGGCTTGTCAGGTGGTGCCATCTGTCCTTAGGAATGCATACTCATCCATCCTTCTGCTTTGCTACCATGTAGGTCTCACCCTTGGCCACACCCACTGGGTCTCGAGATAGATGTAGTGGCTCAGGCATCATGTCCTCAAGCACCAGCAGGGAGAGGAGGATTGCTTTCCCTGGTGTTCACTCTGCAAGTTGGTGGCCACCCTCACACACTTTCTCTCATACCTCAGAGGCCAGGGTCGCTTCCCAGGCAGGTGCCCGGATGAGCAGCAGCTTGACAGGGACTTGGGGCTCAGGGTGGGCCTCCCCCTTGCATGTGGCTTCAGGCAGGGAAGGTCCCTGGGCTTCTCGGGTCCTTGCAAGGAAGGAGGGAAAGGAGTGGGAACTTGGTGGATAGCCAAAGTGGCACAGGAGGTGGGAGTCCCAGCACAGGTAGTTTCAGCCTGGAGTTCTGCACTTCCTCACCACGTGCCCCTGGGCAAAGGGCTTAGCTATTCTGAGTCTTCTCATCAGAGAGCTACAGCCTCCTCCTGCTTAACTGGATGAAGGAGGTACATGCAGTGCCCAGCACTCATAAGTATCATCTCAGTGCTGTAATGATACAGAAATCTGGAATTCTCATATCACCAGTGAAGGCCCACCTTCCTGCTAGTGGGTTCATTTATATGGTATCCTAGCAGAAGGGTGTGTGTATGTGTTTGTGTGAATGTGTGTGTGGATGTGTGTGTTGGGGTGTGTATG